CAAAATCTTTTAAATATTTTATGTAAATATTGTTAAATTATGTAATACATTTAATTCTTTCGCAAAAAAAATCACAAGAGGAAAAGGGTGTTTTAGCCAAACTAAATATTATAAATCCTCTTGGAGTGTTTTTCGAGACTATGCTTTAGATATTATTGGAAAATTTTTATAATTCGGATTAAGATAATACTACTATTTTCTATTCTATTAGCTGAAGAATCAGGTACCCATTCCATATGCATATGCTTTATTCATCGTGATTTTAAGCTGTTCCCCAGCACCATCTCCTTGTTCCTGTAAATTCTAATTGCCTGATGGAGATTATATGAGGTTATTTGTAAAAATAAGAGTTTTTTTAAAAAAAATTTAAAAACAACTGTAATCAAATTTTAGGACAGTTCTATTTTAATGCATAAAAACAAATCTAATTAATCACAAACAAATAGGTATTCGTTTCTTTCAAATACAAATAGATAATTATCGGTTTTTAAAATTGCGATTATAAAAGGCGCGATTTAAGAATTTATAGATTCGCCGGAAAAAAATTTAATACATTTTGGTCACCTAATTCTATTCATTAAATTTAAAATATATTTTCAAATTTTCCTTAGTTCATATCTACAATTTGTTATATTATATTATAAATATTTTTCTTAAAAAAAAAGGTATAAATTCAATTTAAACTATTAAAAAATAATTCTTTATCCTAATTTATATACCCTTTTTATTTTGTAAAAAATAACCCCAAACTCCCATAAAATGATACAAAATTATCAACATGAACTCTTAAAATATATAATATAATTGATTAAAAAATTACAATAATAATATTCATTTGTTTTTTGAAATATTAAAATGCCATAAATAATATATAATGTAATTTGATAATGTCTCTATTCCCCCAACAAGACACATTATATATATATAGGAGTTGCATATCTTCATTTTTTCGATTCGAATTTTTAAAAAATTTGAGAAATGAAATGGAGAGGAGAAGAGAAATTATTTATAATATTAAGAAATTTTGTATCGAATTATTCATCGTTTATAGAGTCGATACAAAATTGATACGGTTTACTATAATTTAAAACCAATTCTTTAAAATTTTTGATACAATATTGTTTGACCATAAAAATATCTTTATTATATTCGTCCGTTAACCGACCTCCTCCCCAACCTCTTTAGCCGATCGAGAAAAATAAGAGCGATAAAGGTTTTCGAATAAATATTTAAATTCGTTTCTGACAAAAAAAATGATAAATTTCCGAATTAAATCTTCAAAATCGAATACAAACAAATAAAAATATAATAAAATTATTACAACCATATTCATTTAAGTTTTATTTGAAGTTATCAGTGATTATATCATTTAAAATGACTGGTTTTCTTTCATTTTTTTAAAAATAAGACATAATAAAGGGAACAATAGATTTATTAAGAAAGAAATATAAATAAGCTTATAATATAAGTAACAATTTTTTTTTATCAGATAATGATGCATCCTCTAATACCTTAGCCAAATTGGGCTTCCATGTTTCTGCGCAAAATTTGGAATTAATTTAACTATGTTACCGTCAAAATAGTTGTCCACGAAATGTATTAAAAAATTTTGACCCAAAATATCCCACTTTATTATGGTAGCATTTATCACGTTTCTTGGCCAGTCTGGATAGAAGTAAATAATTTGTCCATTTTCGTTATGGAGATATGAAAGTTTCGGATTCAAATAGAATTCATTACCTTTACCGTGATAGCAATATTCGTGATTTAGCCCTATGAGATAATTTGTTAAAAATAATAATAAAAAAAGGAATTGTGACTATATACTAGTAGATAGCCCGTCATAAATGATCGAGATTGAGAATTTTCTCCTTACTTTTATGATAGTTGTTATGTGTTATTTAAAAATAATATCCATTATTTATTATTTTTACCCTATTTTCCTTCTTCAGACCAAGATCAATCCATTAAAACTAAGTGTAAATACTATGGTGTTTTTGTCAAAATTAAATTTTTACTTTTGATATTTAATAAAATTCTCAAGCAAGGTACAAAGCCAGAATAATTTTGAAAAGATTGTTCCAAGGCAATGAAAGATCATAATAATTTTGTTAGTTAAGAACTGAAATAAAATATTTTAAAAAATCATATTGTATTTAAAAATACAATCAAAATCAGATTATCTAGGCCTTAGTTTTTTGATAAGGCCGAGCCCAGGCCTACAAAAAAATTTGTTTTAGGCCGCTGTCTGACCCATAGTTAATAATAAAAAAATAGCCTCCAAGTTGATAATAATTTTGAATAATTTTCCCTATGTCCAGCTCAAAATAATTAATAAAATATTTTTCAAGCACAGCCCAACTTATAATAATTATTCTGGCCAGCCCATAGTAATTTTTCAAAATTTGTTCCCAGCCTGGAGATAGGTAAATCTCTAAAAACCATCTCTATTTTTTATTCTTTTTAACCATGCTAACCCCTATGGCAGACCAAGGCCAACCCATTAAGACTAAGAGTGGATACTATTTTTTTGAGCCTGGGGTTTTTTGATAAGGCCCAGCCATGTCTTCAAAAAAAAATTTCAGGCCAATGTCTAACCCATATTTAAAATTAAAAGTTTTAAGCATATGATCATAATAAGTTTGAAAATTTCCCAAGCCAGGTCCAAGCCCATAATAATTGTGAAAAATTCCAAGCCGACAAAACCCATAATAATTTATTTTTACCATTGATCCAGAAAAATAGTTTCAGTTTATATGAATTAAATCGGTCTAATATTTAACATTTTTTTTGTCCTTATATATTATTGGGAAAATTTTTCAAAATAATTTATCATCAAATGAAAGGGAAATATTTTATTTACCCATCATTCAATTGGTTAACTCCTGGTATTTATATAAAATTCATGAATATATTAAAGTGCCTTTTAAAAATTAGTGAAAATATGATCATCCTAATTTAAATTTTAAACAGACAACTTCCACTCCAAATAATTATTACTTAGATATAAAATATAAAATTAAATTTAAGACCTTGTTACTAAATTACAATGTTAACAAATAATAGGAGGTTTTATGCATAAAAATTACGTAATTAATAGTTATATAATTGTATAACAAATATATTCAGTTTTCAATAAAATCTTTAATTAATTATAAGAAAATATATTTGATAATTTAAACATTGATACTATGGAAATCAATATTAATACCCTGATGAAATGGCTAGGCTATATTGGGTACTATATAAAATCATCACAGACAATTTTCAAAATTCTAAATAGCTGTGACTGTGTGACTTTAACACGGCTTTTATATATATTATAGATATATCTTTCTTTCTTTCTTTCTTTCTTTCTTTCTTTCTTTCTTTCTTTCTTTCTTTCTTTCTTTCTTTCTTTCTTTCTTTCTTTCTTTCTTTCTTTCTTTCTTTCTTTCTTTCTTTCTTTCTTTCTTTCTTTCTTTCTTTCTTTCTTTCTTTCTTTCTTTCTTTCTTTCTTTCTTTCTTTCTTTCTTTCTTTCTTTCTTTCTTTCTTTCTTTCTTTCTTTCTTTCTTTCTTTCTTTCTTTCTTTCTTTCTTTCTTTCTTTCTTTCTTTCCTTCCTTCCTTCTTTCCTTCTTAATTTGTATTAATAAATCTAAATATGATAATTTAAAAAAAAAATAACCTGGGAATATATGCAATTTAACGAAATTCTCAACTGACACATTCGCATTTAGCAAAGTATTATCTATGTGGAAATTGTTTACGATATTTTCTAGGGCTCTGTTACTTGGAACCCAGATTGTATAATAAATATCTGCCTTGAATGTTAAATTGGATCGATCTAGAAACTGTCTGAATATGCTGATTTCTTCATATTCGGCTAGAATTTCTGACAAATTCGCAATTAGAGGAACTAATGCCTTAATATATAAAAAAAATTTATTTAATATTTTATTTTAAAATATAATGCCAATAGTAAAATCATTACATTTATTTAAAAGATTTTGTATATAACTAATAATTCAATATTGTTTATTAAAATTGGTTTTTAATAAATACTAGTAACTACTACAGATTAAAAGATAATTAACCAAATAATTTTTTCTTTCATAATATATTTAAATACAAATGTGTAAATATTTCAAATAATAAAATACCAACCTTAATTTTATTACCTAAAAAGAGCCATGAGTTCATATTATTTTTCGTTACCTTAGGGATAAAGCGAAATTTTCCGCCGCAGAAATGATAGGTCTTTTTGCTAATCTTTCTTACACATTGTATATTGTTGGGTATCACAATCTAATATTCAAATTATTTTAAAAAATGATAATAGTTAATTTTTATAAATGATAAAACTTTGGCAAAGGGTTTTGCATGTCAAAATCGCCAAAGGAAAATTAAAATTTAAAGGTTTTAATTTTATAAAAATATATAATGAATTTATATCCTAAAATATTACTATATAAAGTTGAAATCTTTAGATATATAAAATCACAATTTAATTCTTAATTTTTAAATGAGAAGTAATGTTTTAAAAAGGTTTATATAAAAATTTTATTTACATTTATGAATCTTAACTGATTAAAATATTTACTACATTTCTTTTTTCATAAATATTATTCCCTTCATTTTTCTATATTCCACCGCTGGAAATGCTTTGGAATACATTTAGGCTATATCAAGTTTTTTAAAAAATTTTTACACGCGTAATATCATTGTACATTGAACCATTTGCCCCTTCAAGATGTTGAATACTATTCAGGACATTAGATAGAGCTATATGATTTTCAAGGAACTCTTTAGCGTAAGATGTATTCTCTCTCAATTTTTCTTTTATGTTTTGGTCAAGATTCTGATATACGATTTTATATAAATATAAGTTGTTATTAGAAAGGTTTTTTTAAAAAAAAAGAAATAAAATAAAGAAAATGAAAATAAAGAGGTTAAAAAAATGGAAGAGAAAGTTAAATTAAATAATTAGAATATACATATATCTTTTAAAAAAAATGAAAATCAATTAATCAGCCTGTTTATTACTAAGAAAGCCGCATTGTCTGGTATGAGAACTAATTTATCGCGAATTTCGTTCAGAAGAGTGAAGTTAGATCTATTAAAGTAATTCAAGAATTCATTGGCTTCCGGTTCTCCCCGCAAGATTTTAACCAATGAGAGGGCTTTTATAATTATAATTTATATATTCGAAAAACTATATCATGTATGCGTTTACGTAAATTATTTTCGAAAAAATTAATAACTCACTCAGTAAATTAAAATCACTTTTCCTCCCCATAACAACAATTTTAATTGGTTAATTATACTGAAAGATCATGGTGTTATATGACCCTTTCATGATTAGAGTAATTCCTGTATATAAGTAAAATAAAAAATTTTGGACACACCCGGGTAAAATCTAAAATGGTCATGCCAACTCAATCGAAGTTGTTTAAATGGAATTGAAAAAATTCGGAATTGAGTGAAATTAATAAATATGAAGAGTGGAAAAAATGATTTGATTTACATTTATTCGATATCAAGACAAGGTCCACGAATATTACAACTCCGTTGAATAAAACGCGAGTGTCAATGATGGATCCATTATTTATCATGTTAGAGCCGATATTTACCGTAGAACTTTCTAAAGTTTCAATCGCGTGAGGTTTTTTATAGAGATTAGGACAAATCCATTTTGCGATCACGTGCATTTTAAGCGTTTCTTTTAATAAAAAATAATATATAGATATCCATTCACAATACATAAATAGGTAATGTTTTTTTATATATATATGTAAATATGGGGTAACTTATGCATGTAACTGTTAAAAACACATGATTGGTAGCTAAGATTAAGAATTACATTATGATTCCAAATATACGTTATGTATTTTTTCCGGAAATATATTATTTTTTCAATTTTATAAATCATTTTTTGAGCGCGTTTTTAAAAATTTAAAGATCGGATTTTATCCGAAATAATCTAATTTATATTAAAAAAAATATAATTAAAATTTAATATAAATTATATTAATTTTGAAATTTTATGGACAAATTGTATGAAATTTATAGGGTTAGGTATTCCAAACATTGATAAGCTCAAAAAATACACATTGCCAGATTGACGCCATATATAAATATTTCACTTGATATAATATTATTTTTTAGAATATAAATTTGAATTGATTATTATATAAAATAAAATGCAATAAGTTAAAGTAGAAAATCGTGAAATATTTTTTATAAAAGGAAATTCGAATATTATAATTTATTTTAAATAAATTTTATATTATATTTTTTTATTTATTATAATTATTATTTCAATTAATATTTAAAAATTTATTTTTAACATCTAAATTAATTTTATGTAAAATTTAATATATAAATATAAAAAGACAGATATCTTAAATAAAATGTGTTTGAAATATTTTTTATAAAAATCTACTAAAGTTTTTACTAAAGTTTTAAGAACATCTTCAACTTAAGAAGTTGATGTCATGATCAAATTAAATAATTCCTACCTTCAAATGAAGGAAAAAAATATTGAATAATGGTAAGAAAATTCAAATAAAAACCTTTAGCACATTCTACATTAGATTCTAATTCCTGGATGAGTTGTGGAGATAATTGATTTATAGCTGAATTTGATGGTAAGATGATAGTATGATATTTCCCGGGAACAAGAGTCAAATTGGCTAATCCTGAGGCTATCAAATCTACATTTACAAAAAAAAAACATTATTATGGAAGAGGATAAAGATAATTTTAAATTAAATAGGAAATCGAAAATGGTTTTAAGATATTGAAACGATTTTGCGAAAGAAAAAAAAGTGATAAATAAAAGAAATCAAAGTAATAAATAAAAGAAAAAAAAGAAAAAGAAAGAAAGAAAGAAAGAAAGAAAAAAGGGTAAATAAATTAATCATTTTGTAGTGAAATTCTTTAAACTTAAAAAAGTCTAATTTTTACAATTATCATAGAGATAAAGTATTTTAATATATTTATACATTTTGCCATAGTCGAGTTGAGTTCTTGTTGCTTCAGGAAATCGTACACAGTTTGTTTCGTGCGAGGAAGATGATCCTTTAATTTGTAAATCATTCCTTGAGTAGTAAAATAATCCTTTATCACGGGTACACAGTTAACTGCCCATCGGGTACTCATTCTAGGTTTGTGAATCGTGAAATGTAAGTCATGTGATTCGTTACCCATCGTGACTCTTCGCATGTCGTTTAATATGAGACCCCTATGCAAATATTCGGGAATAATATTCCGCTCAAGACCTAAACCCGAAGAATTGCTAATCGGAAGGAAAAGTGTGATATTCCCATGATCATTTAGAATTTCTAACAGATGGGAAGTATTTACTATTGAAGAATTGTTGCGAATGTAATTAGTGCCTTTGAGAGTTTGGGTCATGTTCTTCAGTTCCAAACCTAAATTAATAATTTTGTATTTTAAAAACAATTTATTTTTATAGAAATTTGAAATTCAATTACTTTAACGTCCAAGCGAATTCATAAGTAGTTTTACAAATTTTTTTTCGGTATTTTAGTTGCAGATGTTTAGAATTTTATTTTACACTGGATAGATTTTGCAGTGAATATAAACTTTAAAAACCTATTATTAGAAAAATATTTATTATTTTAATCCTCATGAATTGATACAGATAATAATATAAATCCTTTATTCTAAACTATACTATAGAAAAGGATTATGAGCCTTGAATTATCCTAAAAATTTGGCTGAGACTCTAAAGAAAATACGATAAACTGTCTAATCAGAAATATGACGCTAAATCTTTAATCAAACTAGTCATCAACAAAAAAATGGCTCTAAAATAGCAATTTCGATATCCTTTTTAATTACACAGAAAATTAGTTATGAAATCATACGTTGCAATTGTTCAGCGAAACATTTCACTTTTTCGCGATAAATTTTATAGCAAAACTTTTACCGCGAATTCACATTGGGCTAAATTACTATTCTGCTATTGCGAAACGAATATCCCATTTTTTTTATAGCGAAACCCTTATCAGAGAAAGCTAATAGTAAACTCTTTTATTTTATGTGATCATATTAATTCAATGATCAAATCACTATTTTAAAATTCTGGACATGTAAGATTTATATATATAAAAAAAGAAGATATTTTTTGAAATAATTATATTATATTGTTCAGTTATTAACTCTTACATTTATCATTTTTGTAACGTAATTAATTAGCTAAAACCTAGAGAATTTCTTAGAAAAATTTGGGCTTCCTTTAAAGAATAATCTACCAAATTTTTTTAAACACATTTTTTTTCCCTTAGTGAAGGTAGGAGGGAAATTTATTTTATGATTCAATATTGAGAAAAAAATACGGAATATTTAATATCTCTATACCTTATAGAAGCAAATAAAATTATATATATTTATTTTCATTTGATGCATATGTTAGCGTTCCTTAAATATGATATTTTTTTCAACTTTAATAGCGCGTTTTTAATAAAAATTCTGATTATACCAGACAATTTTTCCACGAACTTTAAAATTTTTAAACTTAATATAATTTATATTATATTTTTTATATTTTCCATATATATATATATATAAATTATAATTGATTCAAAAGATAACAGCGAAATTGTCTGCAATTCATAAGATAGGAATTCCAAACATGATAAAATATCTTTCCAGTAAAATCAGATTTTTCAAATTTCAAAAAATAATATAAAATTGTCAAAATAATACATTGACGCTAACACATATAATACATTTAATAAATTGAATTTTTAATATACTTTTATAATAAAAAAAAATTTAATTGTACTAACTTTGATTACAATGTGGTTGTGAAAGGTTTTTTGCAGTGGTATACCCGTAACAACAAAAATGTGTTACAGCAAATTTCTCCAGCAAACGAGGTTCTCTGTATATACTGCATAATTTTATGTGTTTTTAAAAATGGGAAGAAAATAAATGATGCACAAATTAATTATTTTTTGTTTCTAAAAGTTTGCTAAAACTGGCTTAATTTCGCCATTCCCTAAAATGCATGTAAAAAAAATGTTTAAAATAATTTGTTTTTATTCCTAAAATCGAGAATATTTTATTTTGAATCATTATTTTATATTTAGAAAATCAATTTTAGTTTTTACGAGAACGGCTTTTATTTATCATTTGATAAGACATATATCACGTAGAAAATTTCTGGAAATACTAATTCAACAATTAGTTTTTGCATCTTAATCTACGGGTTTTCAAAAGGTGTTGTAAAAGAATCTTTTAGCATTTGAGCTAATAAACCTAAACCTCAATATTAAGGAGGATAGTTTAAAAGGCGGGCTAGGACTAAACCGATTTTTGGGGCAAATAAATAAAAGGTAAGTAAGTTAAGTTTGTCCAGTGAGTTTTGTTTTTAAATGTATATGTTTAAAATTTCAATGGAAATGTTAATGAATCTCCTGTAAAAATTGAAAAAAATATAATTAACATTGATATTGATACATAAATTTTTTGCAAGTAACAATGTAAAGGTAAAATAAGCTTTAATATATCAACTTAAAAACTCAAAATGTTATTTGAAATTAAAATTAATAAAGTGGTGAAACCTATGTTCGCATATATGTACATCGTAATAATCTTGACAATAGGTTAGCTCACTAATTGCTGATATGCTAGTTCTTTTAGCTCTGATTAGATGGTAATTCGAAAAATTTTCTTGCACCCTTTCCATTATCGTGATATGTTCGACGCAAACATTAGGCCTGAAAAAAATATATATTTAAAAAAAGAAATTATGATAATTTGGATTAAATTATATTATCGATGTTAACACATTTAGAAACAATGTTTGATTCGGTAACGAATAATGGCGAGAACAAATTGAACGTTTTTAACGCATCTTTTAGAAATAAGAAAAAAATGCATTATAAATGAGTTTGGTTTAAATTGGACAACATTTTTTTCTTCTTGGTTTTAAATTTAGACGTTACATATTTAAATATAGCTACGTTTACGCATTTTTTAAAATTTAATTTTTGCGTTTAGAAAAACGCTGCGATTGACACGTTTCAATTTTAACGGCAAAAGAACAAATAGTTCTTTATTATTTTTAAACTACAATAATACAAAAATTCGACCGATTTTGAGACGTAGTCTAAATAAATTAGAAATATATAAATGTCCACAAATAATTTGTTGAGAGAAAGAAAAAAAAAGAAGAAACAACGATATATATTTTTTAACAACTTAATTATTTACTTTTAGAAACTGTATTACATCTTAGTTCAATTGATATGATTCTAAGATGCTGATCATTTTTTTTTTAAAAACGAAGCATTGAATCTACTTTTATTTTAGCCGATAATAATAGAAAGGCCAATTATTAGATATAATTTTTTAACTCCAAAATGTTTTTAAAATTAATTAATCGTAAATGAAATACTATAATAATAATATGTATCAATATATCTAATTACCCATTTGTCCAATCAGTGGTTTTAATTGGGATATAGAATGAGAAAAATATTGCCAAAAATTTATAATTCATTTTAATAATAATTTTCTCCAAAAAAAAAAAAATTATGTATTTTAAAAATAAATATTATATAAATTATGTATATAAAATTTTATTTTATTTACTTATTTATATACTTTTTTACAAGAAAACAAAAATATTTACTACCTTAGATTAATAAAAAGAATTTATTTCTTTATGTCTAAGCAAATAATATAAATAATGTAATATGAGAAAAGAAAGAAAGAAAGAAAGAAAGAAAGAAAGAAAGAAAGAAAGAAAGAAAGAAAGAAAGAAAGAAAGAAAGAAAGAAAGAAAGAAAGAAAGAAAGAAAGAAAGAAAGAAAGAAAGAAAGAAAGAAAGAAAGAAAGAAAGAAAGAAAGAAAGAAAGAAAGAAAGAAAGAAAGAAAGAAAGAAAGAAAGAAAGAAAGAAATAAAGAAAAAATAAAAACGAAGGATCAATCTCAAAAAATTAGATATATTTTATATTTAAAAGATTATAAATTTCTTAGAAAAAAATTTTTTTTCTAATTTTTGATTCATAGGAACCTAAAAGAATGCTTATAGATCAGGCATTATAATTCGAGATATGCAGATCCAAGATCCAAGATCCAATTATATAATTTTTGGCTGATATTACTTTATGCACTTGTTGTAGTCAGTTTATAATAGCCTCATGCTGAAAATTATTAAAAACTGGTTATAACTAGAAGAATCTCATATTTGAGTAAGACATGGTATGTATTGTGGAGATAGAAATATACATTATTATTAAGGGGTAAAAGCCTGAGCTTATAGATTTTTGGAGGGAGGATATTACTTTATGCATTAGTCGTTAATTGGTTATAAGAGTCTCACGCTGAAAAATTATTAGAAATTGGTTATATTAAAAGGAACTCATATTTGAATAAGATATTATATGGGTTAGTGGAGATATAAATATATATTTATTTATTATGGTAAAAGTCTTAAATTTTTGAATTTTAAACGAAATTCAATATTATCCTCTTCCAGCAAAACTCAAGTGTATTAGAACTTTTGTCGATATATTATACTATCTCCGTCGTATTCACGTTAATTCAAGAGAGATATTGCATATTTATTATTAATAATTTCATAATATATTTTTTTTAAAATCTTTATTTATTTTAAGGTAAATGAAAGAAGAATAAAATTATTATTATAAAATATAATATGACATTTCGGACAGTTGCCTAATCAAATCGAGCTATAAAGAACTTTTCTATAAAAAGGTGGGATGATATTTTAAATAAGAAACTTAAGGTTTCCATTTGAATGACATATTACGTCACTTAACCAGGAATTTAAACTTAGGGGAAATAGATGGTTAGAGGACAAATAGTTATAATTAAAAATTAATAATTTTTTTAAAATAATGACACTTATCAAAAATCATAGCTCAAATGTCTGATCTTAGAAGATCTTTAATAAAATTTATAGGGAATGCCCCCTCCCTCCTCCAGGAAAATCCTGGTTTAAAATTTATATCATTATCATATTCACGCAATTTTTTAAATATTATCAAATTTAATTTATTTTAAAAGTTGTTCTCTCTCGAAAAAAAAACACAAAGGGAAATTTTAAATATTTAATAAAAACAACAAGAAATATTGGTAAGAAATAGGATCAAAGGTCATACTAAAGTTTTAAGTATACAATAACAAGTTCAAAATTTAATTTAAATTTTAAATTATACGATATGTATATTATATTAAAGGCTGACTTTGTAGGTTTGAAATATAATTGATAAAATTTAATTTCAATCTTTAAGTTTTTTTTCTTTTTAAAATCTTTTATAAATTAACAAAAGAGGTATCTGATAGAAGGCTTTTTTAAATAAGAAAAAATTTATTTCAAAAACAAAAGGCAAAATATATAAATTTAAGGAAATGTTTAAAATGAAAGACTAATATATGGAGCCGTGATAAGAAATTTGAATGGCAAATTTCTAAGCTAAGTTCTGAACTAATTTAGAAATATTCTTTAGGATCGTCCCATGTGATGGCTAAATTTTTATTAAATTAATCCATATTGGTTTCCAAACATGTTCCTAATTCCTATTATTTTATTTTTTTTAACAATGAAAGACCGCTATATTTTTACCGGTATACCGTACCGCCACCGTTGACAATTTTTCTTCAAAAAACTTTAAAAATTCTATGTTCCTCCTTTCTCGAAAGCATATTAAGAACGATAAAAAATCGTGTTTTTGTTTGTTCAAACAAGGCTCTGAAGTCAGAACAAAGAATTTTATTTTTTTCTCGATAATTTTATTTATTAATTTTTCTCGCCTTCTAGGTTTAATTACTATTTCTACCGTTCAGAATTAGTTATATATATATAATTATTTATTTTTTTTTTCTAAGTAAATTCAACCCTGAAACTTATGATGAAGTTAATGGAGATTTTGTTAAAAATAATTAAAAATAATTACAACCAATTTTAGGGCAGTTCTATCTTAATGCACAAAAACAAATATAATTAAACAAACAAATAGCAGAGTTGGGCATATCCTCCGGAAATAGAATCTATATACAGATACAGATTCTTTGTAAAAAAATGAATTTTAGATACAGATACTAGTATCTTTTATAAAATATCAAAAAGATACATGCCTAATTAGAGTATCTTAAATACAAGATACTTGTAAATTATCATTATCAATTATTTTAGAATAGTTTATAAAATACAATTTTTATTATTTATTTGTGAAGAACATAACATATGCATATAATAAGAATGAGGATTTGCAATGATGAGTTAATTATAATAATCAGGCATTTTAATTAGTAATATCCGATTCTTAGAATAGATAGGGAAGGGAGACTAGTATTTTAATGGGAGTTGAAATATTAATTTGCAAAAGAGTATTTAAAATAGATTCATTATTTTATAAGATAATCAAATTTTTGAAATAATTTATCATTAGACCTTTTCCGTTTTGGTCTACTTAACATTGTGCTAAAACTAAATTACCTTTCAATTGTAGCTGATAAAGGTATGGCAGTATTATATTTATAAAAAATTTCCTTAACGAAAGGATAATAATTAAGCATATTTCGCCTTTCTTTAATATAATTTAAAGCCTCCCGTTCAATGTTCTTTGTATTATTGAAAAAAACCTTATTATATTCAAATCATAGGAAAATAGTTTCTTAAAAATCGATTTCTCATCGATCTTTGGCAGCTTTTAATAAAGGTAGCAATATTATAAGCTTGAATATTTAAGATAACTTATGCCCCTTTTTAACCAAACATGTAATCTTTACATTTATCTTTATAGTGCTATTATTTATCTATCTACCTAGTGTTATTAAACGGTTCGTTTTAGAAAGATCTTAAGCTAGCCTGAAGATTTTGCTAAGAAGGAACAAAGGTCTAGGCATACATTAACGAAATCTTAAAACTTAGGTTTCTGGCTTATTGAGTTAGCTGTTTTGATAAAACCGGCTTAAAATGAGCCTTTTAACAACTTTATATTTACCTTAATATGAATTATAAATTTTCAGCTAATTTTGACATTATATTTAAAATATGATGAAAAAAAAACTAAGGAAATTAATTATAAGATTCTCGAAGAAAATAAGATGTATACTGTGAGTGATATGTAAAATTTTGAACATGAATATTAGTAAGAATCTGTATCTGTATCTTTAGTCAAGAGAATAAATATTAAAAAGATACAAGATTCTTTTCAGAATAAAGGATCTTGGATACAGACTAGTATCTTATTAATAATGTCAAAAAGATACTGAGTACAAGATACAAAAGGTCTTTTATCTTGTATCTTAGATACAATTATTCGCGGTATTGCCCAACTCTGACAAATAGGTATTCGATTCTATCAAATACAAACAGATAATTATCGGATTTTAAAATAGCGATTATAAAAGGTGCAATTTAAGAATTTGTAAATTGGCCGGAAAAAATTCTAATATATTTTAGTCACCTAATTCTATTCATTAAATTTAAAATATATTTTCGATTTATCCTTAGATCATATCTATAATATTTGTTATTTATAAATGTCAAAATTTAATAAATAAATAGTGTTGTTCTCGTTTTGAGCCGAATTTTTTAAAACGGCTAACTTATTATTTCATTCAAAAAATGATATTAGGCAAGCCTGAAGAAGATTTTGTTTGTAGATGGATCAAAGATTTGGGATATCTATTAGCGAAATCTCAAAGGGCATAAGTAATAATTCTGGCTAAAATATTGAGTTATCCGTTTTTAGAAATCGGCTTAAAACGAGCCCTTTAATAACACTAATTTAAACTATTAAACAGTTTCTTTTATCTCAATTTATATACCCTTTTTTGTTTTGAAAAAAGAAAACCAAAAACCCTATAAAATGATACAAAATTTATAGAAAAAATTAATCAACATGAAAACTCTTGAGATATATAATAATAATAATTTTTTTTAAAAAATATTAAAATGACATAAATAATATATATTATAATTTGATAATGTCTCTATCCTAACAAGATACAATTTTATATAAATATATATAAATATAAATAAGCAGTTGTATGTCTTCAGTTTTCCGGTTGAATTTTTAAAAAAATAATTGAGAAATGAAATAGAGAGGAGAAGAGAAGAGGAAGAAGTAGAAGAAGTAGAAGAAGAAGAAGAAGAAGAAGAAGGAGAGGAGAGGAGAGGAGAGGAGAGGAGAGGAGAGGAGAGGAGAGGAGAGGAGAGGAGAGGAGAGGAGAGAGAGAGAGAAGAGAAGAGAAGAGAAGAGAAGAGAGAGAGAAGAGAAGAGAAGAGAAGAGAAGAGAAGAGAAGAGAAGAGAAGAGAAGAGAAGAGAAGAGAAGAGAAGAGAAGAGAAGAGAAGAGAAGAGAAGAGAAGAGAGTTTACTATAATATAAATCAATTTCTTTGAATTTTTGATACAATATTGTTGACTTTAAAATAAAAGCTATATTTATACATTCTTCCACTAACCCCCTCCGCACTAGAAAAAATAAGAGTGGTAAGGGATTTTAAATAAATGTTTAAAATTAGTTGCTGCAAAAAAAATGATAG